GAACAAACCAGCGAAGTGGGAAGACAAGCTTTGCGCAGTCAACAACAGCATCATGTCCTTTTGCTTCGACCTCAAACAGAACGCTCTGGCCACAGCAGTATCTGAAACGCTCCGTCACAATGGTGAACGGACAGCTACAGATTTTGGGTGAAGGACGAGACCATCAAATGCTGCGCATCAAGTTTGTTCTCAACGGAGATCAGTCTGACCCAGCCGGCAAGGGTGTATATGTTTTGTACAGCAGCACATTTCCCGAAAGGGAGATCTGTTGCGATTCTACCACACAAGAGCGCCGCGTGTTTGATATCCTGAGGCAGAACTACGAAGGACTGATTGCATTACACGTTTTATGGTTTGTGCTTTTCGTGGTTTAGGCAACACCTTATAACTCCTAACTCTTGTTGTTACACCTCCAAAGTGACAAATGCCAGACTATGTTTCCAGTTAACATGAGACAGGAGTTGGGAAGCACCATAAAACTCCTAGCTCTTGTTGTTACACCTCCAAATGTGACAAATAACCGAGTATGTGTCCAGTCAACATGAGATAGGAGTTGCGATGTTGGGCAGGAGAATCAGAGGACGAGCGGCAGGAAGGTGAGGCATCTGAAGATGCTGATATCGAGCAAGATCCGGCGTGTGACGTGTTCGGAAGTGACGGCATCGCAATGCCGCAGGATCTTGAGCAGAAACACGTCGAGGAAGGAGAGCACGGATACGAAGATGAGGACGATGGCAGTGACTCCTGTTCAGACGATGACATGGAGGACTATGATGGAGAAGAACCTTTGGGCAGTGGCGACGAAGTCGAGCAAGGGGAGGCGTCGGCTGCAGCCATTGCAGGCAAAGATTCCTCTCATCAAGCGCGCATGAAAGCGTATCGTTTGAGCTCCAGCTACAAGAACACGGAGTCCACCTGACTCGGTTGCCACCGTTGATGCATGCAGGTGTCAACAGACACCCCGCAAAGAATTTTTGGAGCGCCAGGTTCACTGACAATCCTATCAAGACATCTTCTTGGAGTGACACCCGGTCACCAATGAAGTGTCTGGTTTCTTGCATCAAACATGTGACCAGGCTGTATATAGACATCCATAAGCCTATGGATGCTGATACATGGCGCGCACAGTGATTTGAGCCAGATTGAGTGAGTGAGTGCCACATGGAACTCCTAACTCATGTGTTCTTCAAATGATGCGTTGCATATTGCGTTGCTTCTCACAACCTCTGATGTCCTAACTCATCTGTCCTTCAAATGATGATTTACACATCTGGTTGCTTCTCCCAACTTGCCACCTTTGAAAGTGCTGCTTGCAAACTGTGGCGTTCACTTAGAGGCTGGTTCATGACGCGCGCGCTTGCGTGATCTATACATACACCACATTCAGTGAGCGCTTTGAGGTTTTCCTGACAGCGCCTAATCAGCAGGCCTCGTGCGACCCAGTGTGTTTTTTCTTTATTGCTTGGTCTTGAAACTAATTAGCATACACATGTGTTTCCTTGCTTAAACGTGGCATTCACTTGTGGTCTGTGGGCCGACGCGTGCCCAATAGCGTGATGTGAGCCAGATTAAAGACTGGGATGCAATGGGCGTGTTTTCTACATAGTGACCAAGTCCTAACTCACGTGTATGTGGGCCTCTCTCTATCTGTGCATGTATACATGTTTTGTTTGTTGGGCTTAATGTGGAATACAGCTATATAGCTTATTTTTACATTGATTCTTTTCAGAGAGGCAGTGATATGACACCATAGTGAACCATGGCTGTCCCAAGCCATGCAACTTCATGTTTCCTGGCTGGACTCTGGCAAAGCCAACTCAAAACCGGGAGGGATGCGGACAAGCGAAAAGGATGGCTCCAGCGGTTCATGAGTTAGGAATTGTCTTTTTCTGTGGGTCGTCTGCCTAACTCATGTCGTGTTGGAAACTGGGAGGGATGCGGACGACTCCAGCGGTTCATCAGTTAGGAATTGTTTTTTCCCGAAGGCATTGCGAAGGGTTCTTCCGGAAAATCCCTTGAACACTGACACTTCGACACTTACACTTACACACTGACACTTCCACCACACTTGCACTACAACATGAACGCTATACGTACCCCAGTGTTACGTACCCCAGTGTAAGTGGAAGAGCGAAAGCATCCAAGTGCAAAGTATGCAAGTGTCAAAGTATGCACGTGTAATGATGCAAGTGCAATGATGAGTATGCAAGCGCGCAATGACTATGCAAGCATGCAATGAGTAGGCAAGTGTGAGCATGGAGTGCAATGATGAGTAGGCAAGTGTGAGCATGGAAAACTAGCACGGGAGATGTCCTAATGAAAAACATTTCCCCACTTTATAAATTCTCTCTTAAAGGCGGAGGGTGGGACGAACAGCGTCAACCGAAAGTGCAACCCTCTGCGGAGATCGTGCGTGTCGAGTGCGGGAAATGCAGGCGAGAGTGCCGCGCGTCCGGTGTGCGCGCAACCCTCTGCGGAGATCGTGCGTGTCGAGTGCGCGAAATGCAGGCGAGAGTGCCGCGCGTCGGCTGCGCGCGCAACCGTCTGCGGAGATCGTGCGTGTCGAGTGCGCGAAATGCAGGCGAGAGCGCCGCGCGTCGGCTGCCCGCGCAACCCTTTGCGGAGATCGCGCGTGTCGAGTGCGCGAAATGCAGGCGAGAGTGCCGCGCGTCGGCTGCCCGCGCAACCCTCTGCGGAGATCGCGCGCGTCGAGCGCGCGAAATGCAGGCGAGAGTGCCGCGCGTCCGGTGCGCGCCTTCTGCGGAGATCGTGCGTGTCGAGTGCGAGAAATGCAGGCGAGAGTGCGATTCGTCCGGCGCGCGCGCCACCCTCTGCGGAGATCGTGCGTGTCGAGCGCGCGAAATGCAGGCGAGAGTGCGATTTGTCCGGTGCGCGCGCAACCCTCTGCGGAGATCGTGCGTGTCGAGTGCGCAAAATGCAGGCGAGAGTGCGATTTGTCCGGCGCGCGCGCAACCCTCTGCGGAGATCGTGCGTGTCGAGTGCGCGAGATGCAGGCGAGAGTGCGATTTGTCCGATGTGCGCGCAATCCTCTGCGGAGATTGTGCCTCTCTAGTACAACTCTAGTACGCGGAGCAATCTGTGGAGCTGGAAGCTGAGAACTGGCGACTGCGTAGTACAACTTTAGTCGAGTAGCCGGGGAGCTGGAAGATGAGAACTGGCGACGTGGTAGTACAACGTTAGTACGCGGAGTAGCTGGGGAGTGGGAAGATGAGAACTGGCGACTTTGTAGTATAACTTTAGTACGCGGAGTATTATATCTGGCGAGGTGGAAGATGAGAACTGGTGACTTTGCAGTACAACTTCAGTACGCGGACTAGTTGGGGAGCTGGAAGATGAGAACTGGCGACTTTGTAGTACAATTGTAGTACGCGGAGTAGCTGGGGAGCTGGAAGCTGAGAACTGGCGACTTTGTAGTACAACTTTAGTACGCGGAGCAATCTGTGGAGCTGGAAGCTGAGAAGTGGCGACTTTGTAGTA